CTTAGGAAGAACCTATTTTGGAAAAACAAAGCGAATTCCAACAACAGAGGAGGACCATGGACCTGAGCGGGACACAAAGATGATCCGGGGTCCCAAAGATGAAAACGATGGCAATCACACCAGCAGCCGCTGGGCTGACAGCCTGCTCCGGACCACAGGAGGCGTGAGGAATGGCTTTCTCCGCATCTGCTCAGCGCAGTTCACCATCCATCTCCGGACTCCGTTGAACAGACTTGGGGTTTAAGAGACACATTTCTGGTCTGTATGCCATATGAACAAATTAACACCCTGTTAATTTTTAAATGTTTCAAACCAAGATTTGCTTATGATAAAATTAACGGGTTATTATTTTGTTAATAACTCACTGTTATTTTTAACAATTTTTAGCCAATAGGCCATATGTTGGGGAAATAAAACCACTAGTAATTTCGCTGACCTAAAAAAAAAAATAAATAAAAAAATAAATAAATAAATAAATAAATAAATAAAATAAAGTACAAGCTCTGTGAGTTCAGGGACCATATCAGTGTTGCCCACCTCTATTTATCCAATGCCCAGAATAGCATGGCGCACAGTAGGTATTCACCATATATTTGTTAATGGCCGAGTAGCTCACTTGTTTAGAGCATGGTCCGGATATGCCAATGCTGCAGGTTTGATCCCTGATCAAGGGACATACAAGAAGCAACCAGTGAATGCATAAATAAGTGGAACAACAAATCAATGCTTTTCTTTCTCTCTCTCCCCCTCTCTGTCTGCCCTTCACCCCCTCCCTCAGAAATCATTTAAAAAAACAAAACAAAAACGCCAACTTTTCTATAGAGGTCTAGGATTTTCTGAACATGATGTGCCCAATACTAGCTTCTAGTACCTTAGGATACAAATTGTTCATAATATCTTCTGAACACAGGACTCTGTCACTGCAACAAGTACATTTTAAATGTCTGCTCTAGTCCACATACTATGTGCTTGTTGCTTTAAATCATTGCTAATCCTCACAAAGGTCTTACAAGGCAGGGATTATCACCCCATAATACAGACAAGGACCCCGAGACACAGAGATAAATTCAATTCCTCATAGTCATATGGTTAATAAGGAGACACAACCAGAATTCAGACCCAGACAGAGGCCAGGTTCTGTCTCTCTACTCAGTCTCTACATCTCAACCAGGAGACCCCAGGATATGCTTCAGCAGGCCTGAGAATATGAGAAGCCACAAGACCAACATATGGCCCATTTCTGATATTTCTTCCCCCGCCCCAATGGTTAATAACATAAAATATTATTGTGTAAAATAAAACCAAAAAAAAAACCCCTATTTTAAAGTATAATATGTAATACATTTAAAGAAATTTTAAAAAGCAAACACAATCATTACAAAGACATTTCATGGCTGTTGCCTAGGTTGGTCTCAGGAACCTCCTTGGAAAAACATGAGAAGCACTTACTTGTCGCTCTGACTTGCTTCATTTAAGTCCCTTTATCTTGTTGCTCTCTTTTTTTAAATACCAGCATTCCAACTCAATCTTCATTTCCACTCCCACCCTCTTTTCACTAGAAAAATTAAAATGTTTAGAGAAAGTGGCAGTGGTTATCATCTGCCACAGAAATATAATCTTCAAAAGCATTAGTCATTCATAAGGACACTTTTTTGTAGGTACAATAAATCTGATTGATTTTTATTACACATCTTAGTTTAGAATCACTTTTACATTCCTAGACAAAGAGATGATACAAATAAATATTAATTGTAAAACTTAGAGCCCCAAGTATTGGCGTGTTCTTTGTCTAAAGGTAGCCAAAGAGAAGGTCAAGATCAATATTAACTCTAAAGAGCCATAAAGCCCACTACCTCCTTCCTGCACCAGGATTACTCATTTCATAAATAACCTCAAAAGCATTTCATTGAAGAAACAAGGGCAAGGAGAAAGGTGGCAGATTTCTGAACAGCACAAGACAAAACCTTGTGAGATAGACACTAGCCAGGCCCACTGTTCTTATCCAGTTCCCTCTGAGCGTTTTCATCATGGCTTTTAGAGTATATTAATAGCCCCATTTTCGCCCACTGATGGTGTTCATGATGGCCCAAGGTGTTACTTGCAGTGAGCCTTGACCACTAGTGGGAAATGTGAGGCAGAACTGATATCCCACGTTAACAACAGGGAATTGACACTTCTCAGCAACTTGGCAACAATTTTACATTCAGTGAGGGAGGACTTACAAGAGTCAGACAGGAAGAACAGAGAGCAGCCCACGGCCCACGCCTGAGCTGCAGAGCTCTGATGCCCTTGGTCATGGAGGTGTGAGTGGTGCAATTCAAGCAGCATGCAGGCAGGCATTCGATAGGGAACAGTCCAACGCTAAGTCAGTCTTAAGAAAGTGCTTCATGCCTATGATTTCCGGCCTTGGGTTCTGGATCCAGGGGTCTGGGAGACAGGTGACTTTAAAAATATAAAGCCAGATACATTCCTACTGATCAGAGCAAAGAGGTGCCTGATGAAGGCTGCACAGTCTCAAACTCCTTCTCTCGGATGATCTTCTTAGATGGTGTTAGGTTGGCTTCCAGACTTCACTAACCGCTGCTGGCCCTCAGATGGCTTGGAACATTCTAGCTTGACTACTGACAGGGAAACCTGGTCCCTCAGTGGGCCTGGGAGGTCCTCCACACATTTGGCTCAATTCAGAGTCCAACACAGCAGCTTAGGTTCTGCTATCTGCTCTATTCAAATATTTATCGGATCCGCTTTGAGAGAAGAGCACCGGAGACTGCTTGGGAAGGGGCAGCTTCACCTCCACTCAGGTGTTCTTCCTCTTTGTTCACAGACCATCAGATGAGTGCAAGGCAGGCTGTTTCACTAACCCTGCTTGTCAACTGAGCTTTCTTCTTTTGCCTTCTTAGAAAAGCTCTGTGGTCACGCAACCACCCTTGGTCAGAATAGCCATCTTGAGACTTCAGTATTAAGGTATCGTGTTATCTGCAGTGTTCAATTCTCAAATTTGCCAGGTGAATATTTTCAGTCTGTAGAATTCATATGAGCTTTGAAAAAATTGGGGGCAACAGACAGGTGTAACTGGCAAAAAAACCATCTTAGGCTACAACCTGGTCATTTGGTTCCTATTCAAACAGGTCCAAGTCTTAGTAAATAAGAGAGAAGCAGGGTTTGATCCCAAGGAAGATGAGGGAAGGCTCCTTTAGGCTCTGGGAATTACTGAAAAGGACCCTGGGTTCAGAAAGAATAGTAACTAAAAAGGAGATAAGCTGCCAGATGACAGATCTCCATTTGCAGAATGCTGTGACATTGCACTTGGTACCTCCTCTTTCCCACAGGTTGATCCAGAAATGTGCCCTGGGAACTGAGCAGCTGAGTTAAAATATAACTCAAGGCCCACCTGAGTCACCACCTTCCTGAGGCACCATGCCAGCAAGGTACACCAGTGAGGCAGACCTGGGGACTCACTGTCCCCTCAGGCTTGGCTCGTGGACTCAGACACCCACATGGGAGTGTTTCCAGCCTGGATTAGTCATTCAGTGGGCCTTTAATACAGACAAAGGCAACAACTGTACATCAGTGTATTTCTAAAACTGGGCAAGTTCTTGGTCTCTATCTTTTTCTCTTACAGACACACGTGGACACACTCAAAGAACACAGGCACCATTGTGCTTGCACATCCACACACTCTTAAGAGTGTCTCTTGGGGGGAAAAGGACTAACAGTCACCTAATGACCAACATAAAATGAAGCTTTGAATTTCAATAATACAAAGAACTAAAACTTATAAACCAAACTAGTATATAATATGTAAACGGGGAATCTCTAACTCCTCTGAACCTATGCGGTCACACAGCACCTCCTAGCCACCACTTTAGGTTCTGCCTGGGAGAGCCACCATCCTAGGATTTGGCGAGTTTCAGCTGAAGGCAGGCAGGTCCATTTGCTCCCACCTTTGTCTTCGCCTCACAGTGTGCTGAGCCGCATGTCACTGTCTCTGCATCTGCCCAGTACCCTTAACTCTCTACGTAAATATGGGACAAAATGGGGAATTCAGATGTGCCACCTTATGCCTCATTCCCCCTACTTTTGTCCAAACAGAGAAGGCAGAGCCAGCCTCCCTTCTCCCACAAAACAGGCCCACTGTAGAGCATGCTCAGGAGGCAGATGGGCCTGGGAAGGATGCTCGGAGTACACACACTTGGCTAAAGATGGTGACAAATGAAGAGTAAAATGACACGGTGTATGAACATGGCATCAGCTTACAGATTATGTCTTTGACAGGATGGCCATGGTTTTGAGGTTTTTAAAGATGCCTCTAAACTCTCCAAGGAGGCAAAGGGAATGTGATGTCTATTGCTTCCAACATTAACCCCTCAGGAGCGAAATTGGTAGCTTCCTCGGAAAACATTTCCTCATTCGGCAGATCCCAAAGACAGATCCCCTTCTTACCGAGGAGCATGGATCATGCCCACTGGGGGTTTGGGTCCAAATGAGATTTCTCATTTCAACCTACAAGAACAAGCACGTATTCAAGTTCTAGGCCTTTCACTTTCAACCTCCCTGTTATTTTATCCTGAGGCTCCGAAGACTTGGTCCTGCTAAGGTGACTCCTGATTCTGCCCTATTGTTCAACAGGAAGGGAGCCCAGTGTAAAGAACAGGCTAGAAAAGGAGAGGGAGGAGGGAAGGGAGAGGAAGGGGGAGAAGGCAAGGGAGAAGGGAAGCAAGGTCACTGGTCATCCTCTTGCTTTCCACTTCGACTACCGCACGCACGTTACCTTACCCATGCATATCTGAGATGCTAATTAAGGGACATTGCCCAGAGCTGAATGCCAGGTTAGGACCAGCACCTTTCAGCCAGATTAAGTTGGTTCATCTGCAAAGATGCCATCGCTTCTCCCCAGGGGAATGTTCTGAGTTTGGGCTGGAGTCGCCTCTGCAGGTATTTGCTCATCTCTTTTCTCAGAAGGCAATGCTGTTTAAACCCCAGGAGAGCAGGAACTGGCTTTACTTTGGAACCAGCCCCCGAGACTGCGGATAAAGCTGAGATGCAGGAGTTCCTGAGGAAGAGGAGGAGGATCCCGACTTCCTTCCGCTTTTAGGCCTACAAAGTTCAAGCACATATTCACATTATTATATGTCCCATCTCTGTCACCGCACAGATCAGACTCCTTTCCCACCAAGTGCCATTAACATTTCCAGGTGCCTTTTCGCCAGTGGCCTCTCAGCTATAAAACCATGAGGCTGGCACAGTTCCACCCAACTGCCAACCAAGGAATGAAACCTCATGGAAGGGACTGATTCTCAGCCATTGTTTTTCCATTTAAATAAAATCTTGACTGTCTTCTCCAAAGTGGCAAAAAATACTAAGTTTCCAGGAAGAATTTCTTCCATTTTTGGTTTTACACCCAGTTGTTTCCTTAAACTTCTAATCCAAAATTTAATGTGGTAGAATTTCTAATTTAGCATCCAATTAAGCCCCTGGTACCTGGTGGGAACCAAAGAACTGTCCCCCGTTTCTCTAGAACACATGCTCCTTAGAATAGGAACCAGGCACATTCGGCATTCTGGTGTTCAGTCTACCTGGCATAATGCCTGAACCATAAACATTTATGTAATAAATGAATAAACCCAGGAGTAATATGGCACTATTTTCTGGTGTGTCCTGTAAAGCATTTTATGATAAACAAGCACTCTTGCCACCTGCTGCTTTCATTTGTCCTTGTTCAAACATAGGTCATCAAAGCCACTCACCTGGTCTTGGATTTCTTATTTGCAGTACTTTCAAAGGATGACGCATCCACCTGTATTTCATCTTCGTCCTGCAGAGCGGCATCCAATGCCGCCTGGACTTTGGGGGCAATGGCAGGGCCCTCATAGTCCCTGGTGGTTCGGCTGGGCATGTCCAGCTCTAGCAGCACAATGTTTTCTGCCTGCAAAAGCACAGTCACAACCAGCAAGATTGGTTCCCAATCAGACACAGAGAACAAGCAAAGTAGATCCTTTCCAAAAGCAGAACTGCAAATTGCTGGCTACTCAGAGCCTACCAAGTACCTGCCTAGAAGTGATATAGTTTTATAACATTTTTCCTGGTGGGATTACAGATGCTTTTTATTTTCTTCTATAGGCATTTTGCTATTTTCCTTAAAAAAAATTTTTTTAAACAATGAACATATACCCTAAGGGGAATAATAATAAATTAGGTAAAACCCATTTGTTGAAGAAAATGTAAAAATACAAAAAGGTATAAAGAAGAACAGAGTAATCACCAATAATCTCACCACCTACAGCAGCTGTGATGAATGTTTTGGTTGCCACGGGGAGGAGACAGGTATGGTGTATGTGTGTGGAGGGTGTGTGTGGTAGTGTATGTGCATGTAACCACATTTGAAAAAATCAGTTTGGAAAAATAAATAATAAAAAGAATAATCAGTCAGGGCCTGCTTCATAATTGGCTTTGTGGAGGGGTTTCTTCACCTGCTACCCCGTGGGCCTTTTCCGAGCTCCACAAACCCAGGCAAATGCTTGTCAGAAGAGCACATCCTGTCCTTAGCTCCTCCCACTCAGCAGAGTTCAGGCCCCAGCACTCCAGAGCAGGTAGGAGGGGCCACTGGGAGGAGAAGGTGAGGAGAGGGAATGGCTCTATTTCTCAATTTTATATATTAAGATACTGCTTAAAATTTCTTTTAATGGATTGGGTCTACTGCTAAAAACACCTGCGTGCCACTGCTTTAAATTCTACCTTTGGATCAGGTTTGCCTCCTGGAAATCTACATATTTGATCTGTAGGCTTTAAAGCATGTTTTTGACTTAAGACATGAAATAACCAACAAGATATGCACCCTCTGAAACTGCTAGAAAAATGTTTCTGAAGATTTCTGTCTGACACATCACTCATCTTCCACCATATAGAACTCCTTCTAATAGATCTTTTTTGCTTTTGTTTTCTTTATTTTAAATAACTCAGTGCCAGGAAGAACAGCACCTGAGGAGCTAACTAATTCTAATCTGTTTCACTCTAGCTGCCAAGGGAGACTCAAATATCTTTTAAATGGAAACCTTTCATTAACAAGATAATACAGTTTTCCCACTGATAGTTATAAAATACAGAAAAGCAAAAAGAAGAAAATTTAAAATTGAGTGTACTTCTAATAACCAGGGATAACCAGTTCACATTTTGATATATTTTGCCCCAGATTTTTTTATTCATATATACACTTGCAGTACCAATCTATACTAATAAAAGGGTAATATGCTAATTACACTGGGAGACCTCCAGGAGACCTTCCGGACGTTCTTGTGGACAAAGCCATGGTGGCGGGGCTGAGGTAGAGGCGGTTAGAGGCCAAGAGGGGAGGGCAGTTGTGGGTGATCAGGCCGGTGAGGGGATGGGGGGGGGGGGGGGGGCAATTGGGGCTGAGCAGACCAGTAGGGCGCCGGTTGGGGGAGAGCAGGCCGTCAGTGGGGGTCAGTTGGGGGTGATCAGGACAGTGAGGAGGGGCAGTTTGGGGTGAGCAAGCCAGCAGGGGGGCAGGCGGGCATTTGGAAGCGAGCAGGCTGGCAAGCAGAGTAGTTAGGGGCAATCAGGCTGGCAGGCAGGTGAGTGGTTAGGAGCCAGCAGTCCCAGATTGCAAGAGGAATGTCCAACTGCCGATTTAGGCCCGATCCGTATAAACTGGCACTAGGACATCCTTTGAGGGGTCCCAGATTGAAGAGGGTGTAGGCCCGGCTGAGGGACACATAACACCCCACACACACAAACATGAATTTCGTGCACTGGGCCACTAGTTGTTTTATAACGTAACAATACATCATGTTTCCTGGTTCATCCACTTCCCAGCTATCTACTAAGGACTACTGCATAGAGTAAGGTGGGAGGGTTTAGTAGAGAAAGCAATAAAGCACTGAGTATAGTAAATGCTTATAAATAGCTCATCCAATATTATATGTTTGTGTCATTAAATTATGGCACTTTAAATTACTTCCTGACTGACCCACATTATGTTAAATGGAAGTCCCGTAACTTCTTTAATCCATTTCCATCTCCTATCACTGACACCAACGTTCTTCCCAGTTTTCCCAAAGAGCCATTTTTGTTAATCCTCACCTGAGAGTATTTTTTCCATTGACTTTTTAGAGAGTGGAACAGATGGAAAATGACAGAGAGAAACAATGATGTGAGAGAAACACCCTGATTGCCTCCTGCACATGTCGAGCCAGGAAGAGAAGCCTGCAGCCAATGTGCCCTTGACTAGAATCGAACCCGGACCCTTTGGTCTGCACTATCCAGTGAGCAAAACTGGCTATGGCCTCACAGAGCCATTTAAATTTTTTATTTGTTTTGTTTTTATTTTTAGATTTCAGAGAGAGGGAGAATGAGAGATAGAAACATCAATAATGAGAATCATCAATTGGCTGCCTCCTGCACGCCCCCTACTGGTGATCTAGCCCATAACGAGGGCATATGCCCCAACGGGGAACCAAACTATGACCACTGATTCATGGGTCTATGCTCAACCACTGAGCCACACCAGTTGGGCCCAGGGAGTCATTTAAAAACTTATCATTAAGCCAAGCCGGTTTGGCTCAGTGGATGGAGAGTCGGCCTGCGAACTGAAGGGTTCAGGGTTCAGTTCCAGTCAAGGGCATGTACTTTGCTTGTGAGCACATCCCAGTAAGGGGTGTGCAGGAGGCAGCTGGTTGGTATTTCTCTCTTGTAGATGTTTCTAGCTCTCTGTCCCTCTCCCTTCCTCTCTGTGAAAAATCAATAAAATATATATATTTTTAAACTTATTGCCAAAACCGGTTTGGCTCAGTGGATAGAGCGTCGACCTGTGGACTGAAAGGTCCCAGGTTCGATTCAGGTCAAAGGCATGTGCCTTGGTTGTGGACACATCCCCAGTGGGGGGTGTGCAAGAGGCAGCTGGTCGATGTTTCTCTCTCATCGATGTTTCTAGCTCTCTATCCCTCTCCCTTCCTCTCTGTAAAAAATCAATAAAACATACATTTTAAAAAAACAAACAAAACTTATTGTTAATATTTATTGGCCATTGTGGACAGGATGCATATACTCTCCTCCTTCCCTAGTCTTGATTTTCTAAATCTCATTCTATTTTTCCTTTTTATTTATAATTATTTATTTGTTATTTGTTATTATTTGTTAAAATTGCCCAGCCAGCGTGGCTCAGTGGTTGAGCATTGATCTATGAATCAGGAGGTCACAATTTTATTCCCAGTCAGGGCATATGCCTAGTTTGGGGGCTTGATCCCCACTGTGAGGCATGCAAGAGGCAGCTAATCCATTTATTTTCTCTCTCATCATTGATGTTTCTTTCTCTCTCTCTCCCTCTCTCATCCTCTCTAAAATCAATAAAAAATATATATATTTTTAAATTGTGTTATATTAATTTCCTCAGGTGCTTCTGGAAAGAGTCAGGATAAAAACTCTGTGACTGCAGAATGGTGCCTGAGTGTTTACATGAGTAAACTCCTCTAAAAGAGAGGAGAGGAAGACGAGAGCAATCTTCTCACCCTATATCGGGCCTCTGGACGAATCATCATGGACATCCTTGCGTGCTGGCTCAGTGGCCTCTTATATCCCACAGCGGAGACGGGCCGCTTCATCATCTGCTGGTTCCTGGAAAGGCACTGCAGTGGTTAAAGACCTGGCTGGCGTGTGGTCCACAGCCCAGGGTCGGCCCTGCGGAATCAGCACTCAGAAGCCTCTGAGCCTGCTTACAGAGAACCAAGTGACTCCCTGGATTGAGGGCTGACATGGAAATGACACAGGAGCTGCCTCTACTTTCTGCTTGAGTTGCTTTCTGAGATGGTAGGCATGAAGCATAGCTGTCAGCACTGGGTCCTTGGTGGACATCTTCCATTTTTCCAGCAGGACCCAGACTTAGAGTCCTTCTCAAAACGGTGTCAGACTGACACACAGAGAGCACCTGCGTACCGCCCCTCACCTGGTCTATCTTGCTTCACTTGATAGGTAGGTAAGCTGACATGAGGAACTTAGGAAAGGTCATTAGTTGACTATGACAAAGTCTCCCAGTTCCTAACACCATACTCATTAAACTTTCATCTTGTGGAACTATGGCCATCACAAAAGCAGAGATGCAGCTGGTTCCAACTTTAAATGAATGAAACTGCATTCTTACCACATCCCTCCGGCCAAGTCCAGCTTATCAACATTCCTTCCCTCCTGCCCACCTTAAAGTCTACTTACAGTCAACAGTGACTTACTCCAGTCTGGTTATAGGATGTAGTTTCCAATGATCTTCCTCTTCATCAAAGAAGGATCTATTCATAATTTTACTTTTTTCTTCCAGAGGGATGAAGTTTTCTATAATAAGATGCCTGTAAGAGCACATACAGGGGTGAATACAGATAGAGGAAGAATACAGATGGAGTGTTGGTTACCTGGTCCCACGTGTAGTGAGTAATTAGATAAGTTACTCAGCAAACATTCACTAAGCAGGTACTATGAACCTGCCATCATACAAAGGACTGGGATACAGACATGAATGACACGTGGTCCCTGCCTGAGACAGAGAGGTAACGGTACAGCACTCAGGTATAACAGGTGCTGGCAGTGGTCTGCCCTAGGAGTATGGAGAGGTCACTTCTACCCAAGGAGAAGTAGCTTGAGGAGATGAAAGAACTGAAGAGGGGGATGATGCCTGGACTATACTGGAGTGAACCTGTATATTTGAAGTGCTATTTGAAGTATCTTTTGGAGGAACACTGGTACTGCTAACCCAACTCATTAACTTCCAACATGCTGAAAACAGATTAGAAGTTAAACTGCCTTCCTCCAATCCCCTGGATTGTTGCAAGAGATGAAAATTTTCACATTCTAATCACTAGGACAAAGACTACAACCAAATATTTCAGTCCCTTAGACTTCTCAGAATAAAGACCATTCCTGAGAAGAGCTTGTGTCAGAAGCCAGGGAACATGGCAAACAATGAGAGAGGAGCCCACTGGGTTGTATCTCACCAAGGAGATAACCATCTCCTGCCACATTTCTGCATTCACCCCTTCAGAACCTCAGGACAGAACAATGCCAAAGGGGTGTTAACGAGAGAGAGACACACAACGAACACCAGAGAGAGAGACACACAACAAATACCAGAGGTGAAGGGTACTGGCTGGAAAAAACAGATTGGCTCACTGTTTATTCAAAAGAAGTAAGAGCTAAGAATGCCTTCATTAGGGGGGGAAAAAAACCCACAAAAACAGTATTCTAGAGAGATGACATTTTCTCTTCATTTTACTTGACATTTAAGATATTATTTTTCATAACATATATTTGTTTTTTTTCTGATTTTAAAGGGCCTATTTACACATTGGAAATTTTAAAAAATATTACACACAATTTCACTATTCAGAAATAGCTCTCCCTTCCTTCCTCTCTGTAGAAAATCAATAAAATATTATTTTAAAAAAATTTCATTGTGGTCAGGTATGTAAGTATGCAGGAGTAGCATAACATGAGGTAAGGTTTGCTTTCAAATATGTTTATGAAAAATGACAAAAGATGGTTTATCATTGAATTTGGGTGATGGGTATTTGGGTGTTCTCTATACCATTCAGAAAATTCTAGTTAATAAAAGATTCCTTCTTATCAATAGATAAAGGTGAGGCCAGAAGGCTTTAGGAAGGCAGAGTGGGGGGAAACTTGGAGATCATGTAGTGAAATCATTCAGTTCACAGATGAAGTCCATAGACAGAAAGTGACTTTCTCAACAATGAGGACAAAGTGACAGGAGATGAGCTGGAGAGAAGGGACCCTGTCCTCCGAGAAGTATTTCTTAGCAAGTGGCTGGGGGCGCCATGGAGGGCCCAGAACTTACTTGAGCTTCAGCTCCCTGGTGAGCTCATTCTGAGTCTGCTCCAGCTCCTGCCGCTCCTTGATGTGCTCTTCTTGGAGGTCATGGATCTCTGCCTTCACCGCCTGGAGCTTGGAGAAGAGCTGGAACCCGGGGAGAAGCAGATGAGGAGAGTGGCCCTCCGGACAACCCGCTCTCCCTTTCCCCCAAGTCTCAAGACACCTCTGCCTGGCCTGGTCCCTTTTATACCTTTTTCAGTTTTTTGGTCTTGATGTCCACCTCTTGCTGCAACGAGCTGTAGGTCTCTTTAAGTTCTAAGGTCTCCTCGTCTCGACTTTCCATCTGTTGCTGGATTTCTCTTTCTCGACGTTTCTGAGCAACATTCCAAAATTCATCAGCTTGCCTAGAGACAATTTCTACACAAGAATACAGGGCAGGGCTGCTCCAGATCACAGTCTCCCCCTAGGAAGGGGCTACCACAGCTCATTTCCATTCCCTTTGGAGAGTCTAATACAAGAGATATTTGCTTTGTAGCAGTAACGTGCCTTACCCTCCACATTCTCCCCAAACAGGAATGAAAAGTTACCTGCTCTGCAATTTCCTGCCGTTTTTGCTCCAAGATTTTCTGCTGTTCGTTGGTATGATCTACTATATTTTTTCCTCCCACAAGCAGCTTACTCTCCATGGCCTGCGAAAAAAGTAGAATCCATCTTGTGAATGGCCTCCCTCAGAATGTATCTTCTCAGAGGAGACTCTTAGGAGCTGCCTCTCCCTCTTCCTGGACTGAGGCAAAGGGGGTGGACTCTGGAGAAAAATATATTGTGTTCAGCTGTGTCTTGCTCATCACTGCGATGGGGCTGAGGGGACTCCACTTTGGAAATACAGAAGATACATCCTCTCCAGACATACAGGAACTTTGGCTTTCTTTTAACAAAATAAAATGTTTCAGTGTGAATAGCAAAGCTGAGAGTCCACTGAGGGCCACAGACAAGTAAGCCCATTCTTACAAGTAAGCCACCATGAGGGGAAAAAATAAGTAATAATGGGCAGAGGCACACAGGAGGGAGAGAATTCAGGCTTTTGAAAGGAGTCAGGAAAAGTTCCCTGTCTCAGAGACATCTACACGAGTGCTGAAGTAAAAATAGAAATCAGCCAAGAAAAAAATTTTGTGTGAGAGGGTAGGGTAGGGAGTGGTGATACATGAAGTTGGCAAAGCAATCAGGGTCAGTCAGTTCAACAACCTCAAAGCTCTGTTATGGGAGACTAAACTTGATCCTGAGAACTGCAGCAAACATGGACATGTTCTCTGAGCATGACGGTACACAATGAGATTTGTGTTTTAGAAACACTGCTCCCAGGCCACGGGAGAGTGCCTGGAAAAGGGCAGGCTGAATGCAGGGAGACCAGCCAGGCAGCTGTTTTGAGGGTCCAGGCCTGGGCTAGGGCAGCAGTGGAGAAGGAGAGCAAAGGGATGATGAGTCCAAGAGAACCTGATGAGAAGGGAGTCAGAGGTGGGACTTACTGGACCCAAAGGGAGAGGGAGAGGCAGCTCCTAGGAGTCAGATCGGACTGAGAAAAGGAAGGCAGGAGAGGTGCTGGGTGGCTGGGGGCATCTCCATGGAAATGTCCAATAGGCAGAGGCTATCAGCTTGGGTGTCAGGAGACAGGTCTGGGTTGGTTATAAGACTGGGAGTCTTCAACATTTAGATGATGGTTGAAGCCACTGGAATGATTTGCACCGGAAAGCATGGAATCTAAAAGCTCCACAACCTTGCTTTTAAGAAACAAACATTATCTGTCGCCCTGCTGCCATCTCTCAGTGAGTCCCTGAGACTTTGTCCTCTCTTCTTAAAACAAAGGGGTGACTGCTACCAAACCCCTGCCATTCACATCCACACCCACACACTTTCCAGCTCTAAATTCTTTGCCCTATGCTTTTACAGCAGTGAAAGGTTGGGAAAGACAGAAGTAATGTCATTCTCCCATAGACAAAGTGTGCTAAGAGATTCAGTGACCTTGAGGTAATGCTGAGTCCTGCCACATTTGGCTTCTGAGAGTTGCCTAAACACACCAGGTAGTTTAGAGACTCTAGGTGTTCCTGGGCCTGGATAACAGGTGTGATCCTAAAAAACAGCATGCAAATCAAACATGGGCACTCCCAGTCACACTTCAAGTGCAGGAGTGAGGAGGGTGGGGCAGTGTTTGGAACCCCTAGAAAGCCCCTCCCTGAAACAGAGTGATCTCCTAACTGTTGTACATGAATCCATTTTCACATTAGGTTTTGAAAGTCCTAGAAAGGTCCCCTGTCTCTGAAGTAAATTAGTACCCAACTCTGTGTGAGGGCTACTCTGAGCCACAGATAAAGTATGGCTTCATATAGCAGGGGAAGGGGGAGTGAGAGATCACTTGTCCTTTTTAAATTAATAAACATACATATATTTTAGAGTAGAAATAAAAATTTTGCATAAATTCAATGAGATAGAACCCAACATGTCAAAGGAATTCTGGCTTGTGGTCAGGCAGTGGTCATCCTGGGATTCCAGGGCGAGCCCTGCACCCTCCTCTGCCTTTAACGCCCTGTGACAGCCCACGTCCTGACACCAGAAAGAAGATTCAACACAGGGAGCCTCCTTCCTCTAGAATACTGGTCAGCAACTGCACAGCTGGAGGCTGGGGGGAGTGACTGACTACAGGGAGCATTTGGGAGGTGATGAAACGGTCCTGTAGATTGTGTGATCACTGCACTGCATATTAAAACCACAATGAGCCTGGATGGAGTGGCTCAGGTAGTTAGGTGTCATCCTGTGCACCGAAGAGTTGTCTGTTTGATTCCCAGTCAGGGCATATGCCTGGGCTGTGGGCTCTATCCCCAGTATGGGGTGTGCAGGAGACAGCCAATGTGTTTCTCTCCTTACATCAATGTTTCCGTCTTGCCCCTTTCCCTTTCTCTCTCTCTAAAAATCAATTAAAACACATACACACACACACACACACACACACACACACACATATATATGCCAATTTCCATTTTATATCACTAGATGTACAAAAAACTATAGTCTGATAATCTAAGTGTTGGTGAGAATGAGGAACCACCTGAACTCACGCTCCTGATAGAAGTTTCAATTCACAGGGCCACTTTAAAAAACAATGTCTCATCATCTAGTAAAATTGAAGCTGTACATATTCTAGAATCTAGCAGTGTCAGACCAGAAATTCTTATATGTACCTGTTCTCCTGGAGTCAAGTACAAGAACGTTTATAGCAGAGAACGGAAACAACCCATTCTCTCAGAAGAATGGAATACCGTGCAAGTCTCAGAACAGTAATAATGAATGAATGGATCACAGCTATAGGCATCAATGTGGATCAATCTCACTATCATAATGTTGAGTGAATAAAAGCAAATTGCAGCAGTGAGAATCCATTTATATGAAAGTCAAAAACGATGTGAAACTAAAACTATCTTTTATTTAGAGACATATACATATATGGGAAACTATAAAGGAAATTAACCAACAAATCCAAGATGATTACCTGGTGGGTGGGGAAAGATACAAAGAATTTATAAAGATAAAGCTGTTGTTCTATCTCTTATACTAGGTGGATGGAGGATAATATGGGTGTTAGTTTTAATGCTGCTTTTTATACCTTGCACATATGTAATAATTATTCTTACTATGAATTCAATATTTAAATTTTTTAAATTTGAAAAATTATTCTTCCTCATTCAATACAAGTTGACAAATGTTTATTGGGCACTGGATATCATGGAGCTACTAGGAATGAAAAACCAAAAGAAACATCATCCCTCATGTCATTTAAAAAAAAAATAAAAACAAAAAAGATTTGAAAGAAAACAAAGGCCCAAGAGGAGTCCATTACCTTGATTTTGGCGCCCAGCATCTCGGCAGCATCCTTCTCCCGCCTCAGGTCCTCCATCTTCTTCTCCTTCTCTTTTAGCAGCTTCATCTTCTCCTCTGCAACCAAGCTGTGGTCCTCGACAATGGCCCGCTTCTCAATCTCCAGTTTTTCTTGCTGTTCCCGCCAATAATCATCCTTATCATCCCCTTCTTCCTCACCCTCTTCTCCCTCATCCTCCTCGTCTTCCCCACCCCCACTACTGCTGCCACCTTCCCTCCGCTTCTCTCGCCTCTTTTTCCTGCCAATGGACCGTTTCTCTAGCTGGGCCTTGAGCCGAGCAATCTCTTCCTGAAATTCTCGAAGGAGGGCATCCTTAGGGTCCTCATTGACCCTTGGCTTGTTCTTAATGTTTTTGGCACGGTTGGCATATCTCAGAGTAGTCAGAGTTTCTTCTACATTGTAAGAGGCAGGCCCCACGTTGGCCACCATCACAGTTTTAGCGTTGCCACCAAGAGAATCTTGGAGGAGCCTGGTAAGCTTTGAGTCCCGATATGGAATGTGAGTGCTTTTGCCATCTACCAGGGCAGAGATGACATTACCCAAGGCTGAAAGGGACAGGTTGATCTTGGTCGCTTCCTTCAGTCTTTCCCCTTGTGCACCAGTCTTGGCTTGCCGTTCACTGCCAGCAAGATCTACCAGGTTCAATTTCCCTACACGGATGTGGTTTTCTCCATCAAGGCCCACCTCACTGCACTCGATGGTGATGACAAAAATTGCATGAGAACGCGAACTGTGCTCATTCATGTTAGTAGCACCGACAGAACGGTTCTGGTTCCCCACATTCATCACGTGCTCTATTTCCTTCACGCTCTTGGTGACAAAGGAAGACAGGTCTTTCACATACACTCCAGTGTCAGGCCTCTCTTTGAGCTCAAGCCTTTTGGTCTGATCCTTGGAGAGCAAATCTCGGATCTCCTCTTGGTAGATCTCTAAGTAAGAAGCCCTGACCAGGTACTGTTGATTTTGAGATCGAGAGATATGGGTGAAGATGTGATCAAATGAGTTAGGGATGACCCCTCTTTTTTCAGGGTCACCACGGACTCCTTCCATTGTGTAGGTTTTCCCAGTCCCTGTTTGTCCATAGGCAAAAATCGTCCCATTGAAACCCTGCAGAACAGAATCCACAAGCGGTCGGAACGTCTCATCATAGAGTTCAAACTGCTTGGCGTTCGAGTCATACACTGCATCAAAGGTGAAGGTCTTGGGCATTTCATGAGCTACGCCTCTGGGGTTCTTCACAGACACCTGCCCCAGCTTCACATCCACATCTACCACCTTGTCATATAAGGCGGCCTTTTCCTTGCCATTCATGGGCCGACAGCGAACCACCACCCTGACTGACTCGGAGCTTTTCAACTTGGACATGATGAACTCTGACCAGGTCAACCCTGAAGGCTATGATGTCTCAGGATGCTAAGGTCCTAGAAAAAAAGCAAAAGTAAGTAAGGACAAGACAGTTGTCATTGAAGGCTGCCCAACAGCAACTGACACACCCAAGTCACTTTCATCTTGCTAACCTTCTGACAGCTGCATTTCTTTTACTTAAAACATTTTTTATTTACTTTTTCTATACTAAAAGTAAACCAGCTACATTTAATAACGTTACTACACTGTATATTTTCCACAGGACCTTAACCAGCTTCAGTGGAAAAAATAAAAACTCTAGTCCACCAATAGTGTTAACTGGCTTGCCCTCTCTTCAACCAATGTTTTAGCTTATGTTACAGGCTGAGGCAGCTGGAAACCTTTTAAAAACCTAAGTAATCTTATATCCTATTGAACTACTAAAACCTCTGCATAGGGAGGACAAATATACCTTAATCGATAAAGAAATTAAAAATAAAAACCTCTGCATAGAGTAATTTGGAACTATCTATCAAAATTTTAAATGTACATGCTTTTGATCTAGCAGTTCTACTTCTAAGAATTTATCTTACAGATACAAGGATATCTGTTATGGCAGCAACAGATTGAACAACCTCAATTCCCATCAAGAGGGGGCTGATTAAATAAATTAAATATATTTCACATATGTAGTGGAATCCTATGTAGTTACTACAAAGAATGTGCTGACCTAAATGTAGTCCTAAACCAAGATATGTTGTTAAGTGAAAAAAGTAGCTGAGGCCTAGCCCATTTGGCTCAGTGGGTGAAGCATTGGCCTATGGTCTGAAAGGTCCTGAGTTCAATTCCAGACAAGGGCACATGCCTGAGTTGTGGGCTCCATCCCCAAAAGGGGGCATGCAGGAGGCAGTCAAGCAATGATACTCTCTTATCATTGATGTTTCTCTCTTTCTTTCCCTCTCTGAAATCAATAAAATATATTTTTTAAAATAGGTAACTCACATAGTTCTTGATTCAAAAGGCCCTTTGGTGACAGTTCCCTCTATGCCACCTGTTCTCCAGCCACCTAATTCCCTTCCCACAAGGCAAGTGTTATTAAATTTTAATCTTCCTGAACTAGCTAATGTATAACAAGCAAGTTGGTGTTAATATATACTTACCCTCTCCCTTTGTACACAAGCATAGTATGTTATACACAGTAAAACACAGTATCCTGCATCTTCTTTTTCTCATTAAACCATGTATCTTGGAGTTTGTTCCTTCAGGAAATACAGAGCTGTCTCATTCTTTATGAAAGCAGCTACACATCCCACTATATGGAAACATCATAATTTATTTAACCACTACCCTAGCACTTAAGCTGTATCTGATTTTTACTATGAAAAACCTAGGACCACATCCTTTCATGTGTGGGAAAGTATACCTGCAAGGATAAATTTCTAGAAGTGCAATTTCTGGATCACAGGACATACACATTAGATTCTTAGAGCAGTGAAAACAATATACTTTTTATTTGTGAGAATGACCTATTCTCTGCCAACTAAGGGACTAGAGAATGTGAAGCAGTGACGGGACACTCTAAGCATATATGCTGAAGTTTAATAAATATAGAATGTCAATGTCTCCCAATGGTCTTTCACTAAAAAAATAATAATTCTGCCCTAGCTGGTTTGGCTCAATGGATAAAGCATTGGCCTGTGATCTGAAGTGTCCCGGGTTCGATTCTGGTCAAAGGCATGTACCTTGGTTGCAGGGTCGATCACCGGACCTGGTTGGGGGCCCAATGCAAGAGGCAACCAATCAATGTCTCTCTCTCACATCTATGTTTCTCTGACTCTCCCCCTCCCTTCCACTCTCTCTAAAAATCAATGGAAAAATATCCTCAGGTGAAGATTAACAAAAAACAACAAACCAAAAACCTATTCTGCTGCTAAGCATATGAAAACATAAAAAGTTATTCCCACACTTCTTCTAGTTCTTACATGTAAAAAATTATGTTGTCTAGCATGAAGAACCAAAGACTTCTATTTTTTTTAAAACATATTTTATTGATTTTTTACAGAGAGGAAGGGAGAGGGATAGAGCGTTAGAAACATCGATGAGCTGCCTCCTGCACACCACCTACTGCGGATGTACCCGCAACCAAGGTACATGCCCTTGACCGGAATCAAACCTGGGGCCCTTCATTCCACAGGCCGACACTTTATCCACTGAATCAAATGGGTCAGGGCTAACCAAAGACTTCTTAACCTCTCTGAACCCCTTTGCTATAAAACCTATACAACAGGAACCATTGTCCTTCCTTTAAATGATTGTGAGACTGCCCTCGCCCGTTTGGCTCAGTGGATAGAGCATCGCCCTGTGGACTGAAGGGTCCCGGTTCAATTCAGGTTAAGGGCATGCACCTTGGCTGCAGGCTCAGTCCCTGGGCAAGTGCAAAGGCAACCAGTTGACATGTCTCTCTTACTTCGATGTTTCTCTCTCTGTCTCTTTCTCTAAAAAAAAAAAATAATAATAATTGTGAGACTAATAGGCACTTAGACAGAAATGTTTTGTGAACTAACATAAAGCTGGGTTAAAAAATAATTTATACAGATTCATCAAAAAGACCCGTCAAAGGGTCATTACAAGTCAGCCCTAATTTTAGGTATTAAACATCATTAGACTAACATTTTCTTTCTTTTTAAAAAAATATATTTTATTGATTTTTTTAACAGAGAGGAAGGGAGAGGGATAAAGAACTAGAAACATCGATGAGAGAGAAACATCGACCAGCTGCCTCCCGCACACCCCTATTGGGATGTGCCCGCAACCAAGGTACGAGCCCTTGACTGGAATCGAACCGGGACCTTTCAGTCCACAGGCCGACACTCTATCCACTGAGCCAAACCGGTTTTGGCTAGACTAACATTTTCTATTCTTCCATTGGGAACCATCATCCTAAAAAAAATAAATTAGATTAAACTGAGATCCAAATATCTAACCAATGTTCAATTAGAAGTAAATCTCAAGCCAATTTTTTGGGTTTTTTTGTTAATCCTCACCAGAGAATAATTTTTCTGTTGGTTTTTTGTTTTGTTTTTGTTTTTACAGAGAGTGGAAGGGAAGGAAAGAAGAGAGAGACATATCAACTGGCTGCCTCCCGCATGTGTCCTGACTAGGGCCGGGATATAACCTGCAACCCAGGTATGTGCCCTTGACTGGGAATCAAACCCTTGACCCTTTGGTGCATAGGCAGACATAACACTCTAACCACTGGCACACCGGCCAAGGCAAGCCATCCCCCTTTTTTTTTATCCTCATCTCAGGACATGAGGGGTAGGAGGGAGGGAGGGAAACATCAATGATTGGTTGCCTTCTGTACGTGCCCCAACCGGAGATCAAACCCACAACCAGGTAAGTGCCCTGACCAATAAGCGAACCAGCAATATTTTGGTGCACAGGGCAATACTCATCAACTGAGCCACCCCAACAGAACAAATCTCAAGCCGTTTAAAGAAAACTATGTAACAGCAGAACATTTACCATAGCTAAGGCCTGGAAACAGCACAAGTGCCAAGTAGATGGGTGGATAAAAAAGCTATGGTACATTTATACCACGGAATACTCTGCAGCAGTAAAAAGGAAGAATCTCTTACAGTTTGAGACAGCATGGAGGGACCTGGAGAGTATCATGCTAAATGAAATAAGCCAGTCAGAGAAAGGCAAGTATCACATTATCTCACTCATAAGTGGAATCTAATTAACAAAATAAACTGATGAATGGAGTGGATCCAGAGACACAGAAGCATGGAATAGGGTGCAGAATCTTGGAGAGAAGCAGGGGAGGGTGGGTGGGCAAAAGGTAACCAACCAAAAACCTTGTATTCAAATATGCATAACCCATGGACACGGGCAATAGGGTGGTAAGGCCTGGGGCAGGGTGGGGGGTGGGGAGAGGGAAACGTATGTAATACTTTCAACAATAAAGGATTAGAAAAAAGAAAATAAAGCACATTGAGAAATATTACAAAAAAAAAAAGAAAGAAAACTATGTAAAAGGCATCCCTTTCATTCATCATCTTCTAGATGCTATCGATATTAAAATTTTGCCAGATGAGAAGGAACCAGATGTTAGAAAGGCCAGACTGTTTACTGCACCTCCTTTTCTTTCCCAGGGGATGGCCCCCTGATTACTGCTGTGGCTGATCCCTTGCCTGTCTCTCCCTCCATTTTAACAAAATGGAGTGCCAAGCTCAAACCCTTAAGCCTCTTTTCGGGAGGCCTCTGCTGCAGTGCGTGCGACAGTTAGACAGAATCCACACTTGAAGGAGTAAGAGAAAAGTAACGGGGTAGATGGGCAATGGGTCAATGAAGATGACCCGTTTTTCTGCATTATATACCTCTGAAGAGGCAGGGCTGTCCAGCTTTTACCTATCAAAACAATGTATCCTCGCCGAAACCGGGTTGGCTCAGGGGATAGAGCGTCGGCCTGCAGACTGAAAGGTCCAGGGTTTGATTCCGATCAAGGGCATGTACATTGGTTGCGGGTACCTCTCCAGTGGGGGGTGTGCAGGAGGCAGCTGATCGAAGTTTCTAACTCTCTATCCCTCTTCCTTCCTCTCTGTAAAAAAAAAAAAAAAAATCAATAAAATATATTTTAAAAAACAATGTATCCCCAAGACTTAAAAAAAAAGCCTGTAGCAGGCTGACTGATATTCAGCTGCTTCATATATTTTTTGAGCTCGCCAAAACAATAAGAAACAAAGGCACGTTAATGACCTACAATAATCTTAAAAATCTCTTAAAAAGAAGGAATTCCCAAAGCCCCAGTCCCCTTAATTAAATCTCAACTCAGAACACAGAGCACCATTTCTTTTCTGAGCTCACTGAGCTCAGCTGAACTAGTCATGTTTTATTGATGTATTATTTCAGGAAGATGGACTAATTTAATTTCCTGTCACTGGGGCTTAAAATCTTGCTCTGGATCCACCTCAAAGAAGAGGCTTTTCTTGGAAGAATGCCCTGATACTCTTTCTTTA